TTACAAATAAATGAAGATACAATTTTTAATACTTAGAATTCCCTTGTAGTAATTTACTTGTAGGGAAAATGTTCTTTATTTTCTGGCTGAGGGGTAGCTTGGACCATCATCTATTTTACCACTGTCTGTGGAGGCAAATCTTCTATCTGTAGATACCTGTGGCTGCTCCTTCTGGCCTGGGAGCTGCATCTCTTCTAAGCTCTGATGATTCTATACCTTCAAAGAAAGAAGTCATTAAAACTTGCTGTCTCGGCTCTTATCTTCACCAATGAACAAGCCGGAAGACATCAGAATTTAATGACCAAAGAGGTTTTTTGATGGAATAGGTTCTGGAGTAATGAAGCGTGGGCTGGCACAGATGTGTTCTCTGCTGGTCCCACTTAGCAGCCTCATCAGGATTCCCACCTGTACAGAGCAGGCCCCGCATGTCCCGGTAGGTTAGCTTGTGATGCTTAACGCCTGAGGCTCAGGGGAAATTCTGCCAGCTTAGAGGTTGCTTCACTCTGCAATCCCATTATCCAGATTTGCCTTAAAGAGAAGTGGCCTGGTTCTTAATTTCCTTGCTTGGTCTGTAAAAGTGCATACTTCCTTGGAAGCCCATTACCCAGTGAGAAGATGAAGGGCTATCAACAGGCCCATGCTTGACTACCTACTGTAAGTTAGCCCTACGTTGGCCACTTTGTGTGCAGCATTTCCTTTAGTTTCATAAATCTCAGGAGTTACATTTCAGATGGCAAATGCAGCTGTGCAATCGAGGCAGTCCTAACAGTCATCAAGACCTTGTACGTCCTAAGCTGTTTTTACTTAATGTCCCAAAGTCACTCAATAACATCTCTTTGTTCCAAGCATGGAAAGAGAAGACTGAGTAGAAGTAGTTAGACATGGCTGCTCTGTCCTTAACTCTCTTGCTGGAAATTAGTCACCTGGTCAGAGATAGCAGTAAGAGTCTGGGACGCATTGTCGTTAGTGTGTGTATGTGGTGGGGGAGGTGCACAAGTTTTATTCTGAAGTTGGAACTCCGTTGTTAATGAAGCAGAGAATACACATTGGAGTCAAAGAGTGCATCTTCTCTCAGGTCCATGTGGCTGTTATCTTGATCTTACAAACAAGGGGGAAGGATTATTTTGGCACATGATGTCAGAGGTTTCAATCCTGTGAAACCTGAGCCCTGAGCCCCTATTGCCTTAGGCTTGGGCCAGCATAGTTCATCACTGTGAGAGCATGTCATGCAGACTCACTGTGGGAGAGAAGCAGGGAAGAGGGAGATGGAGGGAGAGGAGAAAAAGAGATAGAGACAGAGAGAGACATAAAGACAGAGATGGAGAATTTTTTTTCCTGGAAGACATGAACAAACATCCCATCATCTCAGATAACACATCAACAGCATTATAATTACATTAAAATACAACTTAGTGAACCAGATTTACTGGGGTTGCTTATAGACATATGAGTGAGCATTACTTAAAGGAGCATAGATGAATCAAAGGTTCCTGCATCTCTGAAAAGCCCAGCCCAACATGGATGACAACTCATGAAAGTTCCATCCCTGGAGCTCCCTGTACCACTTGCAGGCAGCTTCCCAGGTTGGAGATCCTCCTGTAGGGAGCTCTTCACAGCAGGAGAGGCTCTTCTTCCCAGCAATTGCTTATTGTTCTTGTAACCTAGCAGAGGGCGCTTGTGAATACTGTAAGTTTCAGGAACTTCCTGAGACTTCAGAGATGCTTGCCTTCCAATTCTCATTAACCCCCTTTCTCCCTTGATGGGGGGGATGTTTCCAATTGGGAAGAAATTGTTGTCCAATTCAGAAAAAGAGGATCTTCAGATAAAAGTACATATTACTGGCAAGCCTTAGTCCAAAGAAACATAAATACACCATATAACATGAGTCACAGAAGTACTTTTAAATTTCTAAGAGCCACCATAATAAAATGAGAAAAAGTGATTTAGCTTTAGAAACATCTTCTTAAAATAATCTTTAAAAACATCTCCAAAATAGTGTCCTATCAACCTGCAATCAATGTAAAATGAATAGACATTTTGTGATTTTTCTTTTTGGCAAAAAGTCAGTGTGTGTATGTATGATTGCAGATCTCATTGCTATCAAGTACCACTTTCAGTTCTCTGAGTATTGTCCATGGACTAAGTATCTGTCTCAGAGAGATAAGAATACACATAGACAGTAATAATTTTCATAAGTAATGGTTGGCCTGATTCTGGAAAACAGAGAAAAGCGATAACCCAAAGTAGAGACAGGTGGAAACACCCCAAGATGAAAAGAGTTTTATGGGAAAATCCAGGAAGTGTTTAGCATCTGCACCAATCTAGTCAGACAGTGAAATAGAGAGGGGTTTACCATGTCTGTCCTGGAACACAGCCAAGTTAGAAAAAGTACATTCGATGCATTTCTCCCCCAGTTTGGGAGAGCCTCTAAAAATTCAATTGCAAATGAGATGTGCAATTTTATGGTCTGTGAACAAGGAAGAATATTTTAAATATGTGAATTTAGAAACTGCCAGATAGCATAGAACACAACATTCCTTGTTAAACAACTTTAAGAACATTTTAGACCGTCTGCTGATGTGATTGCTTAGACATAGGAGAAGAGCCATACATTCCCCCCATGGTATTGTTGTAATTAGCACAAATTATCATTTTACAAGTATATATCAGCACACTTGCCTCTTAAAGACACACTTTAAAGAAAAAAAAAGCTTAAGTGATGGCAGAATTCCAATGATACTTATTTATATGAGCTATCTCAAGGCATTAAAAATATTATTAGATAAAGAACAGTGTCTGGGAGAGAAAATTCAGAAGAAGGGTTTTCTAAAATAAACTTTAGATAAGAGAAGATCTCATATATACTGTTATTTGAGCCCTGTAGAGTAAAAGAGCAAGGAGTAAGTACACACCTGATGTGGTAGCTTGAACGAGAATGGCCCCTATAGGCTCATAAGGTAGCTGTTTGAAAAGGATCAGGGGGGTGTGGCCTTGTTAGAAGAGGTGTGTCACTGCAGGTCAGCTTAGAAGTTTCAGAAGCCCAATGCCACTCCCAGTTAGCTTTCTCTGGCACATGATCCAGTCTCAAGATGCCGGATCTCAGCTTCTGCTCCAGGGCCAAGCCTGACGGCCTAATTCTCTGCTCTCCACTATGATGTCATAAGCTCTAACCCTCTGGAACCATGGACCACAAATTAAATGCTTTCCTTTAAACGTTGCCTTGGTCATGGTGTTTTGTCACAGCAATAACAAAGTAACCTCTGTCCTTTAGAACCAGGTGGGAGAAACAGCTCCTGGATAGTCTGCTTGGGTCTTAGGAGTTTGAATGTCCTTCTCCACCGGTGCATCCCATTGTGAAGGCATCATCACACGCTTCCTTACTGAGATCGTCTCAGGGAAAGTCACAGCGTGTTGTTCAGCTGACGTCCTAGGTTCATGTTAGGCATTTTGTGAAGATGTGAATAGCAAGTATTCAGTTGAGAAGGTACCACTCCGACTTTCCTATCTGCTCTTGATGCACCTGGGGAATGAACGCTTGGCCTTTGCATACCAACTTCTAGCTGATTTCATATTCTTGCATTTACTATTTGCCTTTTCTTTATAGGCAGCTAACACACATATTAGTGTGCCACTGAGTTTCCAGAGAGACATGCTTGCCCATCATTTTGTGTTTGCAAAATGTTTTTTGCTCTTTTCTGTGCACACTGCTTTTCAGGTCTTAGCATCCTTGCCCGTCATCTTCTTTGCTCAATGCTGATGATGTGTCAGCCTGAAGCTAACTAGACTTCTAAGTAAGGGAGGTTGAGAATTAGCAGTGTTTGGAAAGGAAGAGAGATAGACAAGGCACAGCTGCTTATACTTTCAAAGAAGGTAAAGTATTGGCATAGGTTCCTCAGCCAGTGAAGCCTGGGGTTGGGTAGATGGAAAGGGCATCTTTAACATTATGCGTATATAATATGGTGGCACTAAAAAGGTAGTTGATGACTGGATTCCAAATGGCAGGAAAATGAAATCTGGGGCAGGTGTGAGAAAAAGCCACAAAAAGAGTTTAGACAGGGAGAAAGAGTAATAACTAAGGAGATATAGATGGCAGGGCAGTTCACTAATGGTTAGTGATGTCATTGCAAATGGGGAGATTTTTTTTATTTTCATAGTTCAATTTCGCCCAGGTTATTGTAATGCCGAGAAAGGAAAGGAAATGACTGAAATGACCGAAATCACGTCAGTGTATGACATAGGCCGATAGAGCTATCCTTATTTTAAAAAGCAGCTCCCGGGATACTGAAAACTCCCTCCTATTCTTTATTGTCTCCCAGACATCAAGGGCATCAGCATCCCAAAGATTCTCTACTGTATCTCTCATGGTGTCATCTCCTCAGGATGCAGATGGGCTTTCTGAGTCAAGACAGCGCAGTGTGTTCTGAAAGAGCCTTCTCTACTGGGATGAGTGATTACCATGCTCTTTCTCTCCTGATTCTAGGGGAGAACGCTGGATTGGTCCTGCCTAGGTCACAATTCTACTTCCTGGATTTATCACAGTGGAGGGAAAAAATGTTCTTCCAAGCCCTCTTGGCTTCTGTGGAGTTATTGGTCCATCATGACTACACATGACCACAAATGACAGGGTCTGGAAAGATAGCTCAGGAGCACCACCTGCTCTTCATGAGGAAGTGGCTTTAGTTCCCAGTACCCACATGGTGACTCACAGCTGTTTGTACCTACAGTCCCAGGGGATTTAATCCCCTCTTCTGACTTCCACAGGCATAACATACATGTATGGACACATGCAGGCAAAACATGCATCTACATAAAAATCAAAACAAAACTATGCATAATGGGAACAAGAAATTATGATATAATTGGAGGACATTTATATGAAACAAAAGCAAAACAAAGGAAAAAAATAAATATACTAATCAAGAATCTACTTAGTATACCCTGCAGCTCATATGTCTGGGATTATTTATTGATCATATCCTACTATTGACGTACAAGCAGAAGTAGTGTGGACATGGTATAGGAATAATTCTTTGGACATTATTTATGAAATGGGTTGTTTATAATTTACAGATATCACTAAAATTTCTTTATGTGTCTCTTTATTTTGAGTTCATTCATTGAAACGGACATTTATTGAACATTTTATAGTCTCCAATCATTATTCCAGGTGTAGGAATAGATTTGAGTGGAGAAGACATAAAAGGCCTTCATGATCCCCAGACATATTACAACACAAGATCAAACTAAGAAAACTGTGGAATTTAAAACTGGTTAATTCCAGTTTTTGAGAACTTCCCAAAAGCAAAAGCAGTATTTCTTCACATAAGGTTTTTCCAAGTGTTCTATTAATAGCATTTCTTGAATTGAGCACTCTAGAAGCATAACACAAACAAGAAAAAGTATGTGTGTGTGGTATGTACACCATGACACAGAAGACTGAGAGATGACTACTCTGAAAATCTGGAATTCTCTAACATCCAAAATCTTGATGCCTGATATCACAGTGGAAAGGTATACACTTGACCTTACTTGATGGGTTGTCAAAATACAGGCTCACTGAAAGTGTGACGTAAAATGATAACCGAGGGATGGGGAGGTACATCAGTGAAGAAAGCTGCTTGAGCAACCCGACAACCTGAGCAAGCTAGAGGGAGAGAGCAGATGGTCCCAATTTGTCCTCTGAGCTCATCCACACACCATGACATGTGTCCCTCCACCAATGAACATAAAACAAACAAAAAACAAGCAAAAATAAAACTTTAATAAAGCTATTTGATAAGGAACATGTTTAGATTTGGATCCCATCCTCAATATATTTCTATAAAATATTTGTACGTATTTCAAAATGTGAGGAAAGCTGAAATCTAAAACTTGTTTTTTAAATTCTTTGTATTGAGCTATATATTTTTCTCTGCTCCCCTCCCTAAAACTTGTCTACTTTATGTCCCTGGGGATTGACCTTAGAATCTTGCGTATGCTTAGCAGCTGCGAGCACTTCATGGGTAAAGGTGACACAACTGGTCCAGGTGGGACCCCAGTGAGTTAAGGTAAACCATGAGTTAGGGCTGAATATATCCAAATGGCTGTGGGCTATAGTGGCCTATTGTGAACAAAGACTTCAACTGGAAGAATAAATGAGCTAGAAATGGAAGTTTTCATAAATAAATGATATGGTTTGACATCTTAGCAATTCGATAGAAATTGGTTTTTTTTTTTTAAAGAAACAGGCAATTTTCTCTAGATATTGGGTGAATTTTTCAAAAATTATTCTTGGTCATTGGAGTAAAGAGTTGTATGATGGTGGTGGAATTCTACACTGACTCCAATCTTCACTATAACTGCGTCATATTTCCCTTTCAGGGAACATCATGATGTCCCGTGAGAGAGACCGCCAAGAAAAGGGTGAAACATACAACATGATTTTGTATCAGAGACGGAAGGGTTTTAGGATTATAGTTTTGTTATTTCTTTTCATTTAGAAGGTGGTATCTATCCAGTCATGTCCTATAGTCTCATCTACGGCACTTACCCATCATTCTTAGGGAGATCCTTAACCTGCTTGGTGCCAGAGGTCTTGTCAGCCCTCTGTCAACCTGTGTAACAGCACTTGTTTGGTGACCTAGACAATGGTCACGCCTCCTCTTTACTTGGCATTATTATAAAGCTTACATGGAAAACACATAAATACAAGTCTTGACCAAACCAAAGCATACAGTATAGAAAGAACATGGCAGGACCAAGAAAGGTGTCTACTGGGATCAGGGTTGAAAGTTACACAAGTCCTGAGAATTAGCGTGGCTACAGCTGTAGAAATACTAGCAGGAAGCCATTTCTTCCCACATGGTTTCATGAACCTGTTTCATGATGGATGAGTGGTCGTTTGTTGTTGGAAGAGCATCATTAATGTGTGTCGGATCTCAACAGTGGGCAGCAAGGCAGAAGAATGTATGCTAGAGAAAGAAAGTGATAGGCCTTCCCCAGAAGATGAGCATGGTGAGTGCCGAGCATCTGCTGGTGAAGATCTTTCCAGCAAAATATTGGAGTCACTTGAATGAAGGACAGGAGATGGGTATTGGTTGAGAGTTAGAGAATTCTGGGTTACACTTTTATAATTGCAATCCTTGATTTATCTTCATAACACACGAATACGAATGTTTGGAATAAAAGTAGAACTCAGATACTTGTGTTCAGTTCCTTACTTGAACTGAGCATGCACTTGAAGGAAGCCATCCCCCCCTGTAGTACACACAGCCTAGTGATTTTGAAGTGATTTTGTATAAAATACTTTACATTTTTCTCATGTATAGCTGTTTTTCCCTAAAGATGGGCACCGGGTGTTGTATAACATTTATAGAGCGTGTGAAAAAATACGTTTTTTTTTTTTTTTGCTTCAGGACATTTTAACTCTTATTAAGAAAAAGGAAATATATAGGAAAATAATTTGCTTTAGGTTTATTGAACTGACCTGAATTTGTATCTTTAGAAACCATTTCGTTCCTAAGTGATTTTAATCTTTTTCATTGATTTAAAGAACTAAGAATAAATTCTCTGGAAGGTATCTTTCTCACTGACATATAAAACATTTTACATCGATATTCAATGAGCAGAATGTCGTATCCTAATGCTTTGTATACACTCAGTTTTATACAAATAATATGTACATAAATATTTTATTAGTTTATATAAACAAGTTAAATGTCCTTTCCTTATTTGGGGCTTTTTAAAAAAATATGAAACACAGAATTCTAGAAACATTTCCAGTGGGAGAGGGTACCCTAGTCAAATATTGGAATTTTGGGAATGTCAATAAAACAACAAAATCTTAATTTATTTTCCTTTCAAAAGACACTGCTTATCTATAGAGATACATAATCTTGCCCACAAAATGAGCAAAGGGTTCATTTTTATTGTCTTTGTGTGTGTGTGTATATGTGTGTGTATGTGTGTGTGTGTGTTCAGACCCACATATGTCTGTGTGCAGGTGTACTTGCTCATGTGTATACTCGTCAATTCCAGAAGTGGATGTTGCATGACTTCCTCACTCTCTCCCCGACTTTAACTTTTGAGATAGGGTCAACACTAAGCTTGGAGCTCACCATTTCGGCTATGGGACTGAATAGTGAACTCCCAG